GTTTTTTACATTTCAGTTTTGGTCATTTAGTTAGTTTTAGTTAACTAAAACGTTTTTTACATTTCAGTTTTGGTCATTTAGTTAGTTTTAGTTAACTAAAATGTTTTTTACATTTCAGTTTTGGTCATTTAGTTAGTTTTAGTTAACTAAAACGTTTTTTACATTTCAGTTTTGGTTATTTAGTTAGTTTTAGTTAACTAAAACGTTTTTTACATTTCAGTTTTGGTTATTTAGTTAGTTTTAGTTAACTGTAATAACTCTGCAGCTGAAGCAACAGGACAGATTCCTACTTTGGTGGGGGCCACGGCAGGCTTTGGGACCAGGTTTTTGTAGACGCTGGAGCCCGTGATGGGAGCTTTGCTGCCGTTGGTGGGCAAGGCGCCCGCAGTGGCAAACCCAGCAGAGAAGGCGGAGCCTGTGTCGTCCTTGGTCACCTTCTTGATGACCAGCATTTTGGACACCATCTGTTTGCCACTGGGGGGATTTTCTGCACAGACGAGGACAGAGGAGCTGTTAGCGAGGGCCAGGAGAGGACGCAGACCTTTAAAACCAATTCATCAGGAATGGAAAGTCTTACCCCACACCCCAGCATGGGGAGCCACTGCTCGCACCTGAGTCCCAGGCTTTCCAGTTGTTTCAGGGTTGAGGGAGGGCTGGAGAGCCAAACAGTTTCCAGATGTTAAATCATTTTTATTTGTAAAACTAAACAAAGCAGAAAGTCGTCAGCAACTCACAAAGTCCTCCTCCACAAACTTCAGCTTGTCGTCCTTGCTGTCTTTGCGTTCCTCGTTGGGGAACTTGTCCTGGTACGAGGTTCCCTTGCGGGGATGGAAGTTGCCGTTGCGCTGCCTGTGCCCCCCCTGCCTGTCCCTGTCGGCCCCGCTCCGTTTGGGGTGGCGTCCCTGGTGGTGGTGGCCGTCCTGGGCGCTGCGGGGAGCTCCGTGCCAGCTGGGTGTTTCCTTCCAACAGGAACTCCCTGCCAGTCCACCGTGCCCGCCTTTGGCCACCCCCGAGTCCACAGAGTCATGCCTCAGAAGCAGCGACGGCTGCTGCCACCCGTCACCTTGGAAACAAGCAGGTTAGTTTGGTAAACAGGACAGAAAAGACTGCTTTGATGTTTTAACGAAGACCGTTCAAGGGTTTAAAGAAAGTCACTGATCTTAGAAGAAAAGAAAAACAGTCTTAAACTCAACCAAAGGTTTGTTCCTTTGTTGTTGTTCCTTTCCAAAGGTTCCTTTGCAGATTTTTAACCACAGAGTCAAACGAATCATCAGCTACAACCAAAATACCTGACAAAGCTTTAGAAACCAGCTCTCAGGTTCTGGGGTTCTTGAAATCTCTTCATGTCGTATATTTTCTTAAAGCTTGGAGTGATTTAAGGGCTGGGCGATAAATCATTTTAATCGATTAATTTGAATTTGCCATTTATAAAGATTTAATTTTGGAAAATCTGGATTTTTTTTCCCACCAGTGCTCTCTTTGGGGCTTCTGTATTTCAGAGGTCACCCCACCTGTCCCTCCAGACACTTGGTACACGACATGACAACACGGCAGCTAGCAAAGAGGACCTACTTCTCAAAAAAGGCACTGTTTCTTCAGTTTTCTGGAACTGGTTAGGTTTTACAACCTCAGATTTGGAGCAACAAACACCCCACTGCAAAATCTGTTTGAGGCTCTTGCTACAAAAAACAGGAGTACAACAAATTTGTTTCAACACCTGAAACAGAGGTACTCTGTTAGGTGGGAAACAAATCAATTAAAATCGAAAATCGTATCTGGGATGAAAAAAAAATCAGGAGATATTTATTTGGGCCATATCGCCCAGCCCTATGTGGTTTTACTTCAGCTCCGCTGGTTCTCAACCATTCATAACAAATATCACCTCAGTAAATACAGGGCTGGGCGATATGAGGAAAATCTTACATCACAATATTTTTTGGCTATATCACGATACACGATATATATCAAAATACCGCCAAAATCAATGAAAAAAAAATTAAAAATTGATCAAAGAAACTTGAATCTGAACAAATTTAAATGTCTTATTTTAACCATCAGTTTCTCACACAAGGTTTTTAATAATGGAATTATTGCCACTGTCTTTTTGGTGTCTACACTCTAGKTCAGGCGTGTCAAAATCAGGTCCTCGAGGGCCACTATCCTGCATGTTTACCCTGTTCCTCTGCTCCAACACACCTGATTCAGTCTGCAGAAGCCTGTTAATCATCCAGTCATGAAAATCAGGTGTGGTTGAGCAGGGAAACACGACAACATGCTGGATATGGTGGCCCTCGAGAACCAGAGTTTCACACCTGTGCTCTAGATCTTTAATAAACTCAAAAATAATGGACCGTAGCAGCAAAAATGTACAGTACATCAAGCAAAAGGAAAAAAAATAAATAAAAATTGAAACTTTAAAAAGGTGCTCTAATGCTTTTAACATAAAAAATGTAAAATCAAAACACWTGATAGCTTTAAAATACAAAAACAAAAGTATAAACAGTGACCATAAAATGGACTGACSCAGAACGGCATGTTTTACAAATTACCGTATTTTGTTCTACGTCCTCTTTATGAAATCCAAACCACTGCCAGATTATTAATCCAGTGCTGTTTCTCTTTGGAACTAGTTCATCGGAGTTGTCTTCAGTTTTAGTATCATTCACATGCTCACCCAAATTTCCTGCTACAGCTATGTTCTCCCTACGCACGCATGCTCCTCTCTTTGTCCAGAAGGGAGSGGGCTAGTGATGTGTTCAGGTGTGTCGGAAAAGCAAAACTTGCAGGGWRGCAGCTTATTGTTTGCATGATGATTTATACTCGATGGTTACAATGAAGCCATTTTAACCATCGTATATTGAAAAACTCGGGATACATCGAGTCTATTTGATACATCGCCCACCCCTAGTACCACCTCAGTAAATCCTCAGACATTAAAAACAGAGCGGATCCAGGAGGTGAAGTATCTGTTCACTGTGATGATGTCACAGCTCACCTGCAGCCTGACCAACGTGTAAATATAATCTCCTCACTTCAWCTTTTAAATGTTTGTCAACATGGATTAAAACCTGTTTCTGAGGTTTGCTGCCTGCGATCAGATTTAACTTCTCATAATTTAACACAACAATGGTTCAACTGACAGATCAACTCTTTATGGCAGGGCTATTCAACTGGCGGCCCGCGGGCCACATCAGGCCCGCCAGTGACTAAAGTTCAATTGGTTCATTCATGTATTAAGCCCAAACCCAGTTTTCTACTTTAATTACTGAGTTARTTTAGTTAAACATAGATGTGTGAAATCTGCAGAAACGTCAGCATGGTGGCTAGAAGCTGGTAAAAACCATTTCCATGAACGTTTAAAACAGTTAAAACTACAAGAAATTGAATATAAAACTATGAAAGTGAAAATAAAATTGGTTTAAAAATTTGGCAAGTCAGAGATGTCAAAATATTCTTTGTGTCAAATACAAGGCATCGTGTGTTATTTTCCTTTTTGATATTGTTTTATTATCACTACACTTGTTACATATGAATCTGTATGTTATACCCATAATTAAATGCAGCAAAATAAACTATTTCAAAGCTAAGAGATCTTTGTAATACTTGGTTTAGTTACACAATGGGCCTCATGCAAGAACATGTTCGTATTCTTATCCTAAATTTCTCTTACT